GCGTGGATGCGCTTCTGTCGCCCGTCAATGCCAGCCTTGAACGGCTGGGAGTTCCGGGCGTACCGCTTGGAGCTTTTCGGAGCCATGGCGGCGTCGTCAAATGCGCTAGAAGTGAAGCTGACACTCGCGCAGAAGCAGCTCTGCACATGTTCATGCAGTTTGCTCAGATATGCACACACACTTCGGAAACTCCATCACAACCTGATGCAAAGCGGTAGACACACAAGTACGGATCAGTCTGTTTTACTTGTCTTTGGGCATGTGAAATGTGAGTGTTACCTGCTACACGCCCTACAAAAAATCTCAGGTGAGGCTTTCATCACCAAACTCAATACTTCAGGGCAGGTCTCACTCGCCCCCTGCCTCTGCAGCAGGCGCCGCGTCGACAGCAGCTGCTGGACGACGAACGATGGCAGCAGTGCTCCGCTGTTCACAGTGGTCCACACGGCGGCGGAACTCCTCCGCAGTCGCTGAGCTCTTGAACCGGTCTAAGCGCTCCAGAGCAAGCCGGTATTGCTCTTCCGAGCTGCTCTTGATGGCCTTCAAGGCTGCAGTCAGGTCTCCACCCTTGCGGGAAAGCAAGGCTTGCTCCAGACTTCCGGCATCACAGAGCGGACAGAGTCGGCCACTGAAGACATCGACTGGCTCGCCTCTTGCAGCCTTCCAGGGGCAGGTGCCCTGCCAGCCGTCGCACAGCGAGAACAAGGCAAAGGTGCTCCGAGGCATTATGGGCGAGAGAGAAATGATAATGCTACAGCTGCTGACAGAAAAACCTGCGAGACTTTGGCTCACAAGCTGTGATGCACATGTCAAACTCGATGTTCACGAGCATAGGAAGAAGTGCACCGACGTGTGATAGGCAGGTCCAGCATTGATATCATCTTTTTCACCGCTCCCGAAACCTCGCCTCGAAGAGGTGAAAAAGTCTACGGGGACCGTGTCCGGCGTCACTTTTTTGGGACTCCCGGAACCGTCCGGCATCGGCACCGGACGAAATAGGCCCTCCCCCAGACCGTGTCCGGCGTCACTTTTTGAAGACTCCAGAGACCGTGTCCGGCGCCATTTTTGGGACCCCCTGAAACCCCTTTTCGAAGAGGTGAAAAAGTCTACGAGGCGGGGCCGGCGTCCTGTGGTATTTCTTATTAAGGAATGGAGCAGCTGTGGTATTTCTTATTAAGAAATGAAGCAGCTGGGTATTTCTTATTAAGAAATGGAAGACCTGTGGTATTTCTTATTAAGAAAAAGAAGAGCTGACGAATCATGGATAAGAATTTGTATGATACTTCTAATGCTACACAAGAATAAAGGAAACCGAGCGACATCCTTAAACGGCCTGGAGCTTCCTGCATTTCCGCCAGGCCCGGCCCTCCCAGGAAACCGAGCTACATCCTTAAACGGCTTAGAGCTTCCTGCATTTGCGCAAGGCCAGGCCCCCCCGGGAAACCAAGCGACATCCTTAAATGGCCCAGAGCTTCCTGCGGTTGGGCAAGGCGAAGCCATCCCAGGAAACCAGGCGACATCCTTAAACGGCCTACAGCTAGCCTGTTCTTATTAAAGAATTGAAGAGCTTCGGTACTTCTTATTAAGAAATGGACTATCTCTTGCCTTTCTTATTACGGAAGCCCCGGAAAACGTTCGAAACGTTCTGGGAGAGGCCGGAACACACGTGGCGGTTGTTGAGCCGTTTCTGGCCCATCTGCCCTTTGGGGGCCCGAAATGGTCAGATTTGCACCGAATTTCTGCTCTTGTGTTGTAGACCAAGAAAAGGCCG